TTTATCGGGCTGATGTCGATCCCCCAATTCAACACCATGAAGCCCGGGAATTTTCCCGAATTGACCCCGAAAGCACATTTCTTGGGGTTGAGCTTCATGTTATATTTCTCAGAATCTCGAACGTTTTCTGCAAATGAGCCAAATGGTCCTATGTGCGCAGGGACTTAACTAGAATGTCATCGATATAAACTTTGATTGACTTACCTATTTGTTCTTCAAACATTTTATTTACTAGGCGTTGGTACGTAGCTCATGAGTTTTTTAGCCCGAAGGGCATTACTTTATAACAATATGTTCCATACTTGGTGATAAATGAAGTATTTTCCTAGTCTTTCAGGTTTATTTGAATTTGATTGTACACAGAGTAGGCATCGAGAAAGGTAAGGATCTCATGGCCGGCCGTGACGTCGATCATGTGATCGATGTTAGTCAGTGGAAAAGAATCTTTGGGGCATGCCTTGTTTAAATCTTTATAATCTACACACATTCTAAGTTTGTTCCCTTTTTCAGGGACTACGACTACGCTGGCTAACCATTCGGGATATTTTACCTCTCGAATAAACCCTATTTTGAGGAGTTTAGTTACCTCATCCTTTATGAATACGTGCTTTACCTCGGATTGGGGCCTTCTCTTTTGCTTCACCGGTTTGAACTTAGGGTCAAGGCTTAGTCGATGCGTTGTTATCTCCGATGGGATCCCTGTCATGTCTAAATAGGACAAAGCAAAACAATCTAAGTTATTAATAAGAAATTGAGTGAGCTTTTTCCTAAGTTCAAGGGTTAATCCCGTTCCCAGGTATACCTTTCGCTCGGGCAGGTACTCGATCAATATAACCTGTTCCAGCTCTTCGACCGTTGATTTGGTGGCGTCAGAATCTTTGGGAACAATAAAAGTTCGCGGAGTTAAAAAAATCTTCTTCTTTTTCTATCCCCTGCTTTCCAGATTCGGTCGAGGCTAGTGGTTGTGATTGTTATTTGGCTTCCTATTTATCTTTGATGCTCGGCCTTTCTAAGGTTGATGGTGTTGATATCGGTGTTAACTCATCGACCCCAAATATTTCCTTTGTGGCATGCTGCTCCCCGTATACTATTTTTACACCATCTATCGTCGGGAATTTCATCATTTGGTGGATAATTGAGGGGACTGCCCTCATGTTGTGGATCCAAGGCCTCCCGAGTAGGGCATTATACCTCATGTCGCCCTCGATCGCATGGAATTTGATATCTTGAATGGTTCCAGCCACATTTACTAGCAAAATAATCTCCCCTTTAGTTATTTCACTGGCCATGTTGAAGTCATTTAAGACCCGAGCTGCGGGCACAATTTGATTTTTAGGCCGAGTTGCTCCACGACCCTCGATCGGATGATATTTTCCGAGCTACCTGGATCCACTAAAATACGCTTAACTTGAACTTTGTTTAATAAGATAGAAATTACCAGAGCGTCGTTGTGTGGTTCAAAAATGCCTTCTTCTTCGTCGTTGAATGATAATGAGCCTTCGGGCACATAATCTCAGGTTCGTTTCTCTCTGGTGATTGATACCTTAGTTCATTTGAATATGGGTCCCTGTGGAATGTCGACCCCACCGACGATCATATGAATGACATGATGTGGTTCCTCATGTTCATTTTTTATGTCGACATCCCTTTCTCTGAAATGATTCTTGGCTCGATCACTGAGTAACTCTCGAAGTTGGCCCTCATTGAATAGAAGGTATACCTCCTCTCTTCGTTGCCTTCAATCCTCGGTCTCGTGACCATGCATGCCATGATACTTGCACATCAAATTTGAGTTTCTTTGGGAAGGATCGGTCTGTATGGGACTGGTCACCTAGTATCTTTGATCCTTTCGATTGCCGATACAATGCCCGATGCGTCGATGCAAAAGTTATATTCCCATAACCAAGGTGCCTCTATAGGATCGACATGCTTATCAAAACCACTTTTGCTCATAAGTCCCCGAGAATTCTGTCCTCGATCACTTTTGCGATCGTTCCGGGCGGAATTGCATCCTGAACCATTGTTCCTTCAATTTGTAGTATATGGTTGATATCGTTCTCTGTTCGACCTTGGCTCCCTGTCGACGTCCCTCGGGGTTTTAACTGCCGACCTGTTGGGATGTACTGAACCGGAAGAGGCTCTTAATGATCGTCCTCGACCCTTATCTTCGATTGATATCGATTGTGAACATCTAACCAAGTTACAGTTAGATACTCGACCAAATTTTACTTCAACTGTCGTGATGCTATTGAACTCCGCTCGTTCAACCCTTGGGTGAAAGCTTGAACGACCCAATCATCTGTGACCGGTGTCAACTCCATGCGTTCCATTTGAAATGGGGATACGAACTCTCTCAACATTTCGTTATCCCTTTGTCTTATCTTGAAAACATCCGATTTTCTTGTTGTGACCTTTATGTCCCCGGCGTGTACCTTCACGAAAGAATCTGCTAACATGGCAAATGAGTCGATGGAATTTGGTGGCAGGTTATGATACCAAATCATTGTTCCCTTTAATAAAGTTTCCCCAAATATTTTCAACAAAACGGACTCGATCTCATCATCATCTAAGTTATTTCCCTTTATTCCGCATGTGTATTAAGTGATGTGTTCGTTAGGATCAGTGGTCCCGTTGTATTTAGGTATATCCGACATACAGAACTTCTTAGGAATGGGCTTCGGAGCCTCACTCTGAGGAAAAGGCTTCTACACGAACTTTTTTGAATTCAAACCCTTTAGGATCGGGGGTGCCCCCGGTATCTCATCAACCCGGGAGTTGTATGTTTCCACTTTTTTATCATTATCTTTGATTTTCTTCTCTCCCGACTCAATTCTTTTGGTGATCTCCTCGAGTATTTTCATTATTGCAGGATCAATCCCTGATTCGTTGCCATTTGACCTTTCTGGCATTGGCTCAGTACGACGAGTGGTTTATGGCTCGACCACATTTGGAGTCCTATGTTAATTTTGCAATTGAGCAATAGCGGCCTGCTGAGCCTGTAGCATCTCGAATATTACCTGAAGGCTAAATCCTCCGTCTTCTCTGCCTTGTGTACCTTGGCCACCAGTTCGGCCTTCCTTGCGTATACTCCCTTCGGGATCCGCACCTAGGTTCGCATTCAAATCAACGTGCGAATTGATATCGACTGGATCGGCGACTGGTGCTCCCCCGAGATTAGCGTGTGGCACCCCAGCTCTTGGAGCAATTACATTGTCATTTTCCCCGTAAAATTTGAGACCATCATCACCATGTACGGGTGCGTTTTGTGAGTTTGACATGCTTTAACCTGAGAGCAAAAATAGTTGACAAGAACAAGTGTGAAAATAACATGTGTTATCAGGATCAACACCGAAACAATCACTATTATCCTTAGCGCCACGGTGGGCGCCAAACTGTTTACCCTGAAATTCGAGTAACAATTAAACTTATATTGCGGTTTTAAGGATATGTGATTTAATCCAGTACCAATTGATAATCAAGGAATTAAGTAAATAAATTAGAGAATAGAGTAAATCAAACCAGTATGCAAGCCAAATCTCGACCTCAACCTATGATAGTCTCGAGGTATGGATGTTCATGGTTCGGTTTGGATCGGTTTTTCCCTAAAAAGAAACCAAACCAAGTAAGTCATTTTTTCAAATATTAGAACCAAACCAAACCAATAAAGTCGGTTTTTCTCGATTCGGTTTATGTTGTTTTTTTATTTTTTTAGGTTATTTGTCGGTTTTTTCTTGAATATAAGACATACACTACCAAACACATATTCCGGCGACCATATTTTCAATGTAACACTATCAAATCAATTGTTCTTTGAGAAATTTATTATTTACCAAGATATATTGATGATAATTGGATCAAATAGTGATGAATAATCTATGGACTCAATTAAAAATATGTTATTTTTTATCACGAAATGGATTCTTATACTAAACAAAACTAAACTACCAATTAAACTAGAATGTAAAGGTAAAGAACTATATTAAAAGTGCAAAGTATTAACATTTACCATAATTTTTTTGAAACTTTGTACAACAATATACATATATATAGGTGTAATATTAAATTTAAAATAGCTACTCCTATAGTCGGTTTGGTTCGGTTTTTTCTGATTAAAACCAAAACCAAACCAAATTTGATAAGTTTTTAAAATTCAAAACCAAAACCAAACCAAACCAAAAAGTATCGTTTTTTTGGTCGGTTTGGTTTGGTTTTCGGTTTGGTTCGATTTTTCGGGTTTTTATGAACACCCCTATCTCGAGGTGTGAGAATAGGAATAGCAAATTATAAAGCAGCTCTAATGAACAGTAAAATGAAATAGCAAGAAAGTAATGAATGTATGTATTCTTCTGAGTCAATCATGAATGATTTACAAATGGATGAGATCCTCTTTATATAATTGGGGAGTCCTAAATAAGGCACACTTCTAATTATAGCAGGAAATTATATTTGACAACTGTTTAATCGTCGAAGACCAATCCATTCCGAAATTCACGTTGTGATCTTCGGCCTATTGCGGGTATCTCGCTCTTTCTATTACTGAATTATACCGGCTATCATCTCGAAGCATGCCTTCTTCTGATCTCGGTAGATGATATCTACCTTGACCTTGGAAAGGAACTTTGACCCCGAGCTCGACGTCCTGGTCTTCCAACGTGATATCACTTTTTCTATCGAAGAACTAAATCGAGTAGTCTCGATTTCCACCGTATAAAGTAAGATAATAATTTCGGAATAATTAATCCTAAAATAATTAATTCTAAAATAACTTGTTTCTTAATCAAACGATCTCAAAGTATAATATATGACAAAATTAAGTAATTTTGAATAATATCTGTCCCTCTTTTTAGTCGAAAATGAAAATTTTCCTTATTTATTCACAGCCCCTTGCATCTATCTAATCATCAAAATCAGACCAAGAAAAACTTAAAAAACTCAAACCATCTCCTCTCTTTTTCTTCCCCATTACACCAATTTTTACAGTAAGTATATATAAGGGAGGAATTAATTGGAGAACAAGCAATTCAAAAGCCAATCCTTCAGATCAAATCACACCAAATCCCTCTCTCTTCTTTCTCTCTCATTGCCCAATATACTCTCCTTCTTAACAAAAAAACATTTAAAAAAATCTAAAACCAAACAAAAAAAAAGAAGTTAAAACTTTATCAAAATCAAAACTTTAAAAGCTTGAAAGTTGAATCAATCTCCTCTTATAAACATAGTGTCTACAAAATTTTACATATTATTGTTCTCAATTTGGTCCAAAAAAAAAAAACATAGTGGGAACACAAAAGTAAGAGGGTAATATAGAGGGGGCATTTTTTACTGCCTCCTCTGTAGATCTTGTTGATTTTTTCATTTGGGTATTTTAAAAAGGCAGAATCTTGATTTGGATATTTCTTATTTTTCTCAAAAGTTTTTTAAGTTTGATGAAAATTTTTCATTGTTGGGTTGCTATATGCTTGAGCTCTTACCTTTGGATTCTTGTTTGATTGATTTTTTAAGGATCAGATTCCTATTTGATTGAATCTGATAATATTTTGATCAGTTTCAGATTCTTGTCTGTTTGTGAGGCTCTCTTAATACTACTTCATAGTAAAGGTATGACCTTTACTGTTTTGCTGCTCTTTATTAATAATCTGCTTTTCATTTCATCAATGCTGTATTTTGGATTTAATTTAAGCTCTCTGTTTTTCTGCAAAATGAGTATGGTACTATGAAGAAAATGGTAGTATTTTTTTTCCTTTTTGGGGGGCTTAAAGTAGCATAATAAGTGGTGAAGTTAGAAATTGCACTAAGGGTGTTCAAATTTGAAAGAAGTGAAAAAGATTTCCCAACAAAGAGTTTTAAATATATGTTATATACCTCTAAAATCTAATATTTTATCTATATACACAGTGTAATTTTTCGATGAAGGGATTAGGACAATGTAGCTTCGCCCTTGAGCATAATTTTGAATGGAAAATGTGGAAGTTAGTTATTCAGGATTCTTGAGTTTGGTATTGTAGGAAAATGCAATCTGAGTTTGGCAAGTTATTTGTTGGTGGTTTCTAAAGTTGCATAATGTTGAATGGAAAATGTGGACATGGGTTATTGAGGATTGTTGATTTTGGTATTGTAGGAAAATGCAATCTGAGCTAGGCAAGTTATTTGTTGGTGGGATTTCATGGGACACAGATGAAGAGCGCCTAAAGGAGTATTTTAGTACTTATGGGGAGGTTATAGAAGCTGTAATTATGAAGGATAGGACAACTGGCCGTGCTCGTGGTTTTGGTTTTGTGGTCTTTGCTGATCCTGCTGTTGCTGAGAGGGTAGTTAAGGAGAGACACAACATTGATGGAAGGATGGTAAGCTGTTTTAGTTTCTCTTTAATTTATCTGAATGTGGAGTATGATGATATTGTTAAAATTTCTGACAAAATAATCCATTTGTCTTACACTGTCATAATTTAATAGGTTGAAGCAAAGAAGGCGGTTCCACGGGATGACCAGAGCACAACAAGTAGAAGCAGTACTAGTATTCATGGTTCTCCTAGTCCTGGTCTGGGTCGTACAAGAAAGCTTTTTGTTGGAGGTTTGGCGTCCACTGTTACTGAGAGCGACTTTAAGAAGTATTTTGAGCAGTTTGGAACAATTACAGATGCTGTAGTTATGTATGATCATAACACTCAAAGACCTAGAGGCTTTGGATTCATTACTTATGATTCAGAGGATGCAGTAGATAGAGTCTTGCTCAAGACTTTCCATGAGCTGAATGATAAAATGGTTGAGGTCAAGCGTGCTGTCCCTAAAGAGTTATCCCCAGGTCCTAGCCAAAGCCCGCTTGATCGGTACGGCTATGGATTAAATAGGATGAATAACTTCCTTGATAGTAGATTTAGCCCGATTGCTGGAGGTAGGAGCGCCTTTGCGCCATTTGCTTCTGGTTATGGTATCGGTCTTAACTTTGAACCAGGCCTGAACCAGGGATACGAGGGAAGTGCAAACGTTAACAGTAGTTTAAGCTATGGAGGGGGACTGAATCCATATTATAGCTCAAACAGATTTGGTGGTGGCGTTGGGTTTGATGGAGTTAATGGAGGAAACACTTTGTCCTTAAACTCAGCAACTCGCAATTTATGGGTCGATGGAGGATTGCGTAATGCAACAAACTCCCCGAGCTCTAGAAATTTTATAGTATCTGGAAGCGAGAACATTGTAGGAGGAAACTTTAACAACAGTGGAGTTTGGGGTTCATCTTCAATTTCCTCTCAAGGTGGAGGAAATATTAGTAAAAGTGGAAATCTTGGTTATGGGAATGGTGATGACATATATGGGTTTCCAGGAGGCTATGGCGGAAATGTCAGAAAAAGTGTGGGCCCTATAACATCATATGCTGCATCTAGTGGTGGTTATGGTGTGGGGGATTTAGCTGATTTCTACGGTAGTGGTTTGGGATATGATGATCGCACTTGGCGTTCTGAGCAGGATGCAACTGGTTCTCTTGGTTATGAACTAGGCAATGGACGCTCTGACATGTCAGCTCAAAGTTCTGCAGATTATTTAGGTACTTATGGAGTTAGCAAAAGACAACCAAACAGAGGTAAGCTTCTCATTAATCATGTTGAACATTGATGCCGACATGTGATAATAAGATATGTTGTTATTGTCTTTATTGTTATTATATGATATAAGTGTCTAGCTATCTTCGTAAACATTAAGTTCTTTATGTAGAGCATGATTGTGCTTAACCTTCATCTTTAGGCTCTTTATTTTCCATAGCATGGGTCAAGAAATAATATTGACAAGTACCTAAAGAAAAGCTTGTATGTTACTGTCAAATTATGGTCATTTGAAACTAAAAGACAGAGCGGAAATTAGTTGGCCAAGTTGATCGGGAAAGCCATAAAGAAATCTTGAAATAGCGTTCCTTCTGTTACCTCGCCCTCTTAATGGTCATTTCCCATTTATTTTTGGTAAATTATGTTCATTGTTAGTTGTTGACTTATGTTTCTAGAATTCAGGTTATTCCTTTGCCTCCCTCAATCTAGATCTAACAACTAAGGATTACTTTAAGGATTATTCGGAGTTTTTTTACTTGTCCTAATTGTAATAGTTAGATGAGTATATTCTCCACTGTCCTTCAAAAGAACATTGGTTATGGTCTAAAACATATATTTAGGTAGCGTACTTTATCCAGCAAATTGCATACCTATAAATAGCCAAATTATAAGAATGTCCTTTACACCAATGATATGGATCAGTATGTGGGATCAAAGACCTAAAACATCAACAATTTTGTTAAGCATGGTAAAATAGAGTCAAGAAACCTGAAATCAATTTGGGCTATCCACAAGAAATATGAAATATCGACCAGATCACAAACAATTATCTGCATGGGAAAATAGAGGAATTTTTTCCTGAAAGAGCTGAACATGAAAGTGCTCGTATTTTGATTAACGAAAAACAATAGAGGATTTTTTTTAGACTTTTCTTGTTAGGTTTGATCAATACCAGCTCTTTCAAGTTCAGTATGTTTATTAAGTACCTTTGCCATGATTCTGTATACTCTCTTTACTCTGATGGATCAGAAGTCCTTGACATTTGTTCACCTCTCTTAGGAGTAAGGACTATAAAAGAAAAAGGGCAGCCCGGTGCACTAAACTCCCGCTATGCGCGGGGTCCGGGGAATGATCAGACCACAAGGGTCTATTGTACATAGCCTTACCCTGTATTTCTGCAAGAGGCTGTTTCCACGGCTCGAATCTGAGGCCTCATGGTCACATGACAACAACTTTACCAGTTACCCTAAGGCTCCCCTTCTTAGGAGTAAGGACTATGTATCATTTATTAAAATCCCCCTCAAACTTACCATATTGATAGAATTAAGTCATGCATTCCATGGCACTCCTCACTGTTTGAGCCTCAATCTCAAGCTAGTCAGGATCAGTTATACAACAAGACTGAGTCTTAATCTAAACAAGTAGGCATCCTATATGGATTCTTTTCCACTGTTCTCTGTTTTTTGCTAAGCGTCAGACAACTTCCTTTCATGTGATTTTAGGTCTATCTCCTTCTAACATATTATGGATATGTTGGACCTTAAAGGCCCAAATTCACTCCCATATTGCATTATCAGCCTTACAGCCGTTCTATAGAACTTGTCTTTTACTTTGATAGGTATCTTCCTATTGCATAAAACTCTGATAGCACTTCCCCGTTTCAACTATCCTATCTTAGTTTTAATTTTATCTTCTCCATTTCAACGATCCTATTTTAATTTTATTTTTATGATAGTATTCTCATTCAACTGAGTCTAGATATTTGAATTGTCTGCAGTTAAGCACCGCAATTTCGTCTAATCTCACTTCAGTTTCACTCTTCTTATGCTGGCTAACACATGATTTGGATTGAAATGTCTGGTACAACTTCTCACATCTTGTTCCACATCCTTCTTATATAACCTCTCAAGCAAACTTCTTGAAAATTGATCCTGCTGTTGGAAACAAAATTAGAGAAAGCTCGTTCATTGACAAATTTTACAAGCGGATGTCTCCGCAAATTATGCATGGAAATTTCCATTTTGGTTTCTTCAAGGCAAACTACAGATGATATCTACCTTCCATTGCTGCTTTTACCACTACCTCTTACGCAGGTCGTTTAGGCCCCTTCTATTTCATAGTAATGCTTTGCATATTGGAGGGTTGTTGCAAGTCGGGTTTGACATATCTCTTTCTCTGATTCGGTCAACTCCCCAACTTCTCCCTTCTAATTTACTGAGAATATTAGTTTCCTGAACTCCGACCTGTGCCTCCCATTATGTTCAGAACCTTTGTACTTGCTCAACTAAGCTCAATTCAAGTCAAGAGTACCATTTTCTCCATTTCAAAACCCTCGTAAAATGCAAAGAATTTAGCGGAAGTCACAAATCATCCTTTGGACCCTAATAAGTTTAGACTTGTTTGTACTTGCCAAATGGTTGTACATTGGCACGTGTGTGTCTTTAGGTCCTATTTCTGTCCTGATTTTCACCTTGGTTTTTACCTCGCTCGATGCGATGTAGTTGCAAACATGTGAGGTGGCTTCCGAGCCCGAAATGTGGGCCATTGTAGCCCCACCAACCTCAGTTACCTCGAAAATGGTCAGGTAGCCTTCCTCGTTTGTTGTTGTCTCTTCCTATACTCGTCTCGAGCACTGAGCAGTTACTTGTGATGAGAGATCAATATAATTCTTTTGCTAGAAAGGAGAAAGCTTTGTTTTTGTTAAACAGTATCCAGAGGCAGATTTCTTACTGTTCTGCTCTAAGATGATATTGTCCTTTTGTCAGTAGCCTAAGAGAATCTGGCAAGCTTTTCAGAGGAATGTAATGTTTTAAAAATCTACCCTCTCGAGCTTCTTGACTTAATTTTAATGTAGTCCTTCTCTGCTGGCAACCTCAGTGCTCTTTGATGGCAATTTCCCAGAAAAGTAATATTTGTATGATGTGAGCTTCAACCAAATAGTCTTATGCGTGTGCACTCTTAGTTCGTTTCAATTACTTGATATTCTTAATCTCTTCCCCTTCTCTCTTCTTCCTTAAAAAACATGCATGTGCATATGCAATTTGTCGCGATATGATGTCAGATTATGCTAGTCTTAATCTGCTCATGATTTATTGGTGCAGGAATTGGTGAATAGAAGAAAATATCAGAAACCAAGGGTGTTGTAGGAGGTGAATTTTTTTTTTTAGCAAGTTGAATCCTGAATTTGCATATTTCATCGATTACATGAAGTTGAGAGGTTAAAGAATTGGAGTTCCTTTGTAGGGCACCTGAGTGCCTGTTTTCGGTCTTGAGATAGTACTTTGCAAGAGACTGTCTTTAAAAGGATTTTGTTTTGAGTTATATTTTAGTAATTCCCTTTTTTCCCTCGAGTGAGGTGTAAAATCGGATTGCAGCTGCAGCGATACATACAAAGGAAATATACAATTTTTTGCACAAAATTTGTATTCCATGTTTTTGCTGTAACACAGCTGCAAATTTGCAGATTCTTAGCTGCTATTGTTTTCTTTATAGTTAATTTCAACAGGATTTTCCTTTTCAATTGGTTGTATGTGAGGTTGATTTAATATGAAATATGCAGAGAGGGATACCCTATATGTGAACAAATTACTACATATTCAGATTGCTTTACTTTTCTTGATATCTATATATTAGTTGTAAAAAAATTGTTGCACTGGGGAACCAATTGAAGTTATTGTTTTGAGCTTAGCTTTTGTGATTGAATGTATAAATATATTACTATTAGCTCATTTAATTGGTAATTGGCGCACATTTAACAGTTTATAACAAGTGTGAATCAATATCTTGGAGATAAGTTAAGCAGCATATTATAATTGGTTAAATTAGCTTGATAGGTGTAAAAAAGCTTTGCACTGTTAATTTTTTTTTTTTTTCAGTTTAACATTATATTCTCAATGACTCGTTGTTGTTAATGTTGAATAGTTTAGTCATTTTAATGGATGATGAGAAGATGACCATACACATTTTAAGCAATTTCAAGATGTTGATGACAGTATGCATGGCGTGCTTTGAGCCCAAGTATGGTCTCAACGTATATTGTTCGGACTCTTTATAAATGTTGTTGGAAGTATGTCTGCACCAAAAATAGTACATATTTGAAGGATCAATACAGGTACTAAAATATTTTTGGGAAGTTTGAGCAAGATAGGTCTCGACAAAGACAATGAAAAAGAGAGTTCCCTTAAAAAAACTATCACCAAGGATGGATATGAACTTATATAAATACTAAACTCGTGGGTTACGTATAAGTATTAGCAACGATCTGCCGATGACATAATGTCAAGATGGCCGAGTTGGTCTAAGGCGCCAGTTTCAGGTACTGGTCCGAAAGGGCATGGGTTCGAATCCCATTCTTGACAGAACTTTTTTGTTTGGCAAAATACATAAGTTGCCACCCGAATTATGACCCAAATCCCTGTTACACATTTTCTAGGAACGAATATTACTTTACACATCCAACCTTTCCAAAGTGTATCTAAGACACACCACTTTTTTCTTAACCAGTTTTTCAGAATATGTGCAATATCACGCACCAATCAAATAGTGACACGTGTCATTTAAAAATAAAATAATTAAAATTACAATTATACCCCTCATCTTCCTCATCTAAACTACCATGTCCGTCTTCCTCCTCTCTCACCATCAAACACCATAGCTTCTTCCTCCACCTTTTACTTAATAGCAAAGCCATCATTAACTAACAAAAATACCAAAAAACACACCAAAAACTCCATCTTTTCCGCTGAAATTGAATCAAAATTTTTGAGCTCAGATCCAATTTCATTTCACTTCTGTAAAAGTTCGGCCGCTATTAACTGCCATCGCCACAAGTCAACTATTTAAAAAATCATCCATTAATAAAATTAAAGAATGTGAAAAATCTTGAGCTAAGCTTTAATGGTTGGAAAATATTTCGAAAAATTCTCGCTTCCTGAAAATTTGACTTCGCCATGGATAAAGCTCAAGTTAAGCTTCTCTACAACGAGAAGAGATATAAAAAATCGTGGTATATCTATTTGAGAAGAAGGAGATCGGGTGGTGGAGCTCAAGGAGTAGCTATGACAGAATTTTTAAAAAGGAAGAAGATTACTCAATTTAAAACTTAAAAAAACTAAAAAAAAATTGACATCTGACACAAATTCTTCTGTTCACGCGACTCATTTGTTGGGAAAAACACGCACTATCCACGTGGGCAAAACAGTGTGTATTAGATACACTTTGGAAAAATTGAGTGTGTAAAGTAATATTCGTTCCTAAAAAGTATGTAACATGGATTTGGGTCATAGTTCGGGAGTAACTTATGTATTTTGCCTTTTTGTTTCAGTATTATTCTATATGTGCAATGACTTTATTTCTCTTAAATGCATGTATATTGCTTGTATTCTTGGTCATATGTTTCATAGTTTGAGATTTCAAATAGTTATTTGTCAACAATTACACAAACAAACGCCTCCGTTTCTTGTTCACGTCTAGTTCTAACCAATAAAATAGTACTACTTGTTTTTCTCTTATCCTTTATAAAGTGGTGTCAGAGTTGGGTCAAGAAAGAATACTTCCACAATGGCAAAAAATCATACTGATTACCATAAATCTATTTGTATATATTTTCTCTTTTTGTCTTCTCGAGAGTTTATTAGAAACAACCTCTCTATCTCATCGGGGTAGAAGTAAGGTCTGCATATATACTATCCTCCCTAGACCCACTTGTGGGATTATATTAGGTCGTTGTCGTTATTGTTGTTGTTGGATTTTGTTATTAATAACAAAGAAGTGTGAATAAAAAATGGAGGGAAGTGAAATTTTGAATGAGTTCACTTTACTAATGAACTTTGTCCTTCGTTGGTAGAAGGAAAGAAAATCTTTGTGTATATATAGAGAAGCTCATCTTTTAGCTCTTAAAGAGCTAAGAAGAAGGCAAGCCTCGCACCGTCGTCACTCGGCTTCGGTTTCAGTCAAAGATTGATTGAACTTTTTGGACAAAATTCTTTTCAAATAATTAATTAATTAATTAAATTAATTAATTAAAATTCAATCCAGAATAACCCATGATCCGCGACCCACGACCCGGTCCGGTTTGGCCCGTTTTCTTTCCCGGATTATTTTAAATCCGTTTTAATTTTCCCGCAATATTTCCAACAGCTATGGCTGTTCTGAAACAGTGTCAAACCTGTTCAAACAGCTATGACTGTTCTGAAAGGTTGCAAACCTTTTCAGAAATAGTACCAAATTGGCTATAAATATTCCTTCAAATCTCAGAATATTTACTTACGAAATTTTCTAATAATCTTCTTCTTCTTCTGCACAAAAAATTCAGTGTGTTTTACAGCCTTCGAGTGGTTCGCTGTTCATCGGCGTTTTTGGTACCAACACTCCGGTGAGTTAAATCGTTCTATCCTGGGAGGATATATTCCAGAACTTCGGATACTTGAGGAGAATAATTTTCTTAGGACACAATGTGTATTCAGTGGGCTCGATTTGTTCCTATACCGTTTTCAAAATTTATTTTGAAGTTGAAATACTGTTTTCAGAATTTATTTCTACTAAATTTCTGTTTTTGTTTTCAGAAAGTTTATTATTTTATTTGTTTACGGCAATACAGATTAATAACAGTTGTACAGTAACTGTAACCAATAACAAATCTCATCCTCACATAAGATAATCAACAATTTTTTTTTAAAAAAAAATGAATTTTACACCAAACCAATAAGAACATATGTGACATAAGTTAAAACAAAAGTTTACAAGAACATCAAGAATCCACCAGCAATTGCCAAGAACAAATTATTCGAAACACCCCAAGTCATCATCCTATGAGAAGATGACAGCGACGTAGAATCCGGAGATGCTACAGCCTACAGGTATAGCTTTTCCATTATCAGCATCAGGACTATCGGCGTCCGGGGCAATATCTACTACTGGTGCTGGTGTTGGTAGTATATCAGTCCCAAAAATTGCTTCAGGAAGTAAAACTTTATCCACCTGATAAACAGCAACCGGGTAAGTAGCACGAACCGCGCTACTAACTTTAGTATTAGTCCATCCTGAGGTAAGGTGAACGGTCCCGGACACATCAGTGAAGTTCAAAGAATATAATTCTCCTCCAGCAAATGTATAAACAGGGCTAATTTTACTAAGGTTCTTGAAATCAGCTAAACTATAGTAATGTGGCAATGCATGAAAAAGACAAAGGGATTTAAGTTGATCAGCAGTGAAGTTTGAAAGTGATGGTTTCTTGAGTTTCGAAAAGGCTGAGTCTTTAGGTACAAATTATGTGATTCCTTCTTTTGTGGTATTGGCTTGGTTTTGGAATGTATCGATGACTTTTGTCGATTCGAGGTAGTCGAGGAACGTGTGGAAAGGGCCTGTTACTGAGAGTAATTCAGCTAAGTTTGTGTATTCTGGACCTGGTGCTGGTGCAGGAGATAGATTTGGAGATCCAATTGCTTGGCCATTTACTGAAGTTGAAAGGGTTAATATCATACTAATGAATATGGGAAAAATGGAATAGTCCATTGCTGATATAAACAGACTCTGCAAGTTAAAGATCTATGGCTCAATCATTAAAATCTCAGCAAATCGAATACAAAGTTTGCATCTTTAACATGAAGGAAAAGCATGGAAAATTTAGGTCAAATTCACGTGTCGTCGCTGAACTTTACTCACTGTAACAGTAGTCACAAAACTATTATTTGATAAATTTAAGGAAACTAAATTTGCGGGTCTTCCGGAAAGAGTGTCAAGGTAGAGGTAGGTCAGCGTATACTATATCCTCCCAGACCCCACTAGTGAGATTACACTGGGTTTCTTGTTGTTACTATAAAGTAACTAAATTATGTCTGCATTGTGTTAATTCAAATACTATCATGGGACTTTACCCACTGTAACAATCAAGTTATCAAACTATTTTTTGTCAATGAATTCTCAACAGAGTATATTATCTTTCCAAGTTCAAAATGCTTGTAATTGAAGCAAAATTCGAAAACAAAAAAGAAAGAACAAAAAAAAAAAAAGACAGCCCGGTATACTAAGCTCTCGCTATGCGCACAGTCTGAGTAAGGGCTGGACCACAAAGGTCTATTGTACGCAACCTTACCTTGCATTTCTACCAGAGGCTGTTTCCACGGCTGAACAAAGAGGCAGATCTACCCCATACACAAATTAATAAGAGGACATAATGAAAAGAAAAAAGAAATGGTGCATAGAGGAAATAAGGGAAAGTGAAGCTGTTAGAAACAAAGAATGATCAGAGGGAAAATGCAAGGACAAATTCAAAGAGTGATAATGAGAGAACTGACCTGAGACAATAAAGCTCAGAGAAACAAAAAAGGATTAGGGACTAAAGGGTATGGAACTGAAGATGCAAAGAGAGACCATATAAAGAGAAAGGTACAAAATGTAGGAGTAGAAGTTCAAGTCTTATACTTGAGATTATGATTGTTTTCACTTTTGTTGTTTCCTATTTTGAGGCCTACACAAGTCCCCACTTGACAGTAACTTTGATGACATGACTTTAAGGAAAAGAGTTTATGTGAGTTGGCCGATCTATGTCTTTTAGATTCTCAATTAATTTATTTTTGGATGTTTCTCCTTAAGTCTCCAAATTTGTACTCTTCAATTCCCATCTTTCCATTTTTTAATGTTCTTG